GCCCGCTCGGCCCCTCCCTCTGCCCCTCCCCTCCACTCGGGCCCTCCGCGCGCCCCGCTCCACCGGGGACCCCGCGGGAAGCGGCCACACGGATGAGAGTACTGCGATGCAGCGGGGAGGGGGCGGCGGTCAGAGAGTGGCCAGGCGGGAGCTGGGGAGGGGCGCCCCGGCAGGCTCGAGCCTCAGCCTCTGTACACCCTCCTGCGGGGCCCCCTCCACACCTGTGTCCTCTCCTGGACACCTGCCCCAGGCTGCCCCACAGGACCCTCTGGAACATGCCCACTCGGTGCTCACCACCTTCGCAGACTGCTCCATCCGCCTGGCACCCAGCCCGAGGCCTTGGCCCTCCAGCTCCTCCCTGCTCTATAACCTGCACTGGCTCCCTAGTATCGAGGCCAGGCCCACATTTCCAGCCTGCGCTTCAGTCACATGGTTGGGTACCTTCCCTCCTCTGGCCGCTGATCCCTTCCGAACACCTGAGCTACCCATTCATCGGACCCTACTAACCCATACTCCCTGGGATGATGGGCTGCCTGCTCCTGGCAGGCTCTGCCAACAGGGGGCGCTGGAGGGCACCCACAGGCACCTCACAGCTCAAATGCCACCTTCTCCTCGTCTCCCTCCTCCTTTGACCGAAGCTGATCTCCCAGACCCTCAGCCATGCACCAGGGCGGCTCCCTTACCTGGGTCACCGCCCACCTAACTGCTTTAGCCCTTAGGCCCCAGCTGTCAACGTCCTCCCTCCTGAAACCCAGCCAGACCTGGCTAGTGCTCCACCACACTAAGGCACCCAGTACACACTGTGAAAACCACCATTCTGCCATCCCCAAAGAGCAGGTGAGCCTGGGCCTGCCGAAAGGACAAACACGTCCTCAGCCAAATGGACGCAGGAGCAACCACGGAGGCCACCCAGCCCCAGCACAAAGCAGCACTGCTGGGAAATGGAAAAATCCAGAGCCTGTCCTTTGGGCCGCGGGGAGGATTCACCCTTAGGAAACCCAATGGCCTATGGGAAAGCTTCAGGGAGGGTCAGGAGATTAGGAAGGGACAGCCAGCCTTGGCGTCAGGCAGGGAACGGCCCCTAGTGTGGGCAGAGACATGGGGAGTGGCAGGGCCAGGTGAGCAGAGACGAGGGCGGAAGGCTTTGTAAAGCTCCTACTGCACCCCAAGCCCACTGCTCAACACCCCACTTCAGTCTGGAGTTTGGGAGTCAGATAGGTCTACCTGGGCCAACCATTTACTGGTTCTGTGACTTTGGATAAGTCACTTACCCACCTGAGCTCAGGACCCTCGTCTGTAAGATGACATCAGGATAGCTCTGCCCCATACATCAAGAGTAGGTGAGAATCCACGTACCGCTCAGCCCAGCGGCAGATGTGAAGCAGTAACACCATAAAAGCTAGCCGTCATTGTGGACGCCACCTGTGGTCTATGTTACCCATTCATTCAACAGCGTCTCCTCAGTACCTTCTACATGCCTAGCTCAGGGGAAAAGCAGGAAGCAAGGAAGCGGGTTCCTGCCATGAGGTGAGGGGAGCCCTGCAGGGTGGAGAGATCCCTTAAGGAGTAGGAGCTAGGTCACGGCCACACAGGTGGCCCCGGGGACAGCCCGCCCCTGCATAGGTGCTCCGGAAAGGAACGAATGGGGCGCGATTAGCCCCATCTTCCTGATGAGCATCAAGGCACAAAGTGGTCAGGCGACTTGTCCAAGGTCACAAAACCAGCGGACACAAGAACTGAGCCTAACCCAGCCCACGGAGGCCAGGGTCCCCCGCCCAGCCATCCTTCTCTGAGTTCTGGGGGTCCCACGGACCAGAGTCAGGTGGGAGGTAGAGAGTAGACACCACAGTCCTGTGGGTATACAGGGCTTGGGGGGCACAGACCAAGACTTCCCCCTTGGGAAGCAGGGCTGGTAGGGGTGCCGTGAGCATGGGAAACCTTCATGGAGAGGCAGTTCTGTCCCCAAGTCCCTGCCGTCACCCTCAGCACCTGCCTGGACCCCGAGCCTTCTCGCCCAGCCTCACCGCAGCCCCCTCCCTCCTGCCTGACACTTCAGTGACCCTCTTAAATCACAGGCCCAAGCACACCCTCACAGCCCAATACCCTCACCAGAGAAGCCCTAGCTCCAAACTGAGATCACAGGTGGGGTAAGCTGAGCCCGACCCACGGGACCCTGTCTCTAACCTTCCCCATCTAGGGATGCCCACCCGGGGGTCCGGGACCCCACCCTGAGCCCCGACCCATCAGTTCACAGGTGCCACACCCCACTAGGCCTCTCCCCACCTCCCCTGCCCCTCCGGGCAGGGCCCCGGCACTTGCTTACTGACCCCCCAGGGCCACCCAACACCTACCTGATGGTGGTCTGGCTCCCCTTGGCCACCGCGTGGCCCCCGACGTCCTTCTGCTCAGCACCCCGGTCCCGGTCTTTCTCCTCCTGCAGCCGCTGGAGCAGGAGCTGGTGGGGGAGGCTTCGCAGAGAGGGCCCAGGGGAGGTTGCTGGCTGCCCCTCTCCCTTCAGGTTGATGTCACTGGCTGAGCGCTGCAGAGGTCGTGGGGATGTCAGGCCGCTGGGGCCGGCCAGCCGCCGCCGCTTCGCATAGCTGGGGGTCTCCCTGAATGGTACTGGAGGAGGGGAGATGGATGAGACACCGGTCAGCCAGAGAGGGTAATCAACTTGTCCAAGTTTTAACGCTGCAAGTTCCGTGTTCTGAGACCCCAGGACAGCCGGTCACCCTTCAACAGGAGGGGGCTGCCGAGGCCGCGTTCCAGTCACCCTTGACCCTCCCTGCACCTGACTCTCACTCCCAGGATAGGAGCCCGCACCCGCTGGAGCTCTGTCCTCAGCCACTGAGGCCTTGGAGAGCCTCAGACCTGCTCAGAACAGCTGCCCAGACCAGGCCACCTGTGACAGTCCCCACAGGCTGCTGCTGGGCAAGACCATCTGCGGTGACCACGGCCAGGGCAACTGTGAGAGACATCGGATCAGAGGCCAGCAAATTTCCTCAGTAAAGGGCCAGACAGTAAGTATTAGGCTTTGCAGTCCAGTTGGTCTCTGAGGCACACTCCGCTCTGCCACTGTAGCGTGAAAGCAACCACAGACAGTGCCTGGGCGCATGGGCACAGCAGAGTCCCAATAAAACTTTGTTTAAAAAGCATGCAGTGGAAGAAATAAACTATCTCCATCCACAGGCGACCTGATTCTATATTAGAAAATCCCAAAGGATCCACAAGAAAGCTACTAGAGCTAATAAGTGAATTCAGCAAAGTAGAGAGTAAGCAACCAAGACACAAAAATCAGTTGTGTTTCTATACAGCAGCAATGAACAATCTGAAAATGAAATTAAGAAAACAACTCCGTTTCAACAGCCATGTAAAAGAATAAAAAACCTAGAAATACCTAAAAAAAAACTTGTACACTGAAAACTATAAAACATTGCTGAAAGAAATTAAAGACCTAATTAAATGAACAGGAATCCAGTTTTCATGGATTGGAAGACTAAATACTGTTAAGATGTCAACACTACCCGAGCAATATATAAATACACTGTGATCCTCATCAAAACTACAATAGCCTTCTTTGCAGAAATGGAAAAACTGATCCTCAAATTCATATGGACCTGCAAGGAGCCCTGACTAGCCTAAAAAATCTTGAAAAAGAACAAAGTAGAAGGACTTACACTTCCCAATTTAAAAACTATAAAGGTAGAGTAATCAAAACAGTCTAGTACTGGCATAAAGATAGGCATATGGATCAACAGAACAGAATTAAGAGTTCAGAAATAAACCTGCGTATCTATGGCCAATAGATTTTCGATGAGGGTGCCAAGTCCATTCAATGGGGAAAGAACAGTCTTCAACAAATAGAGCGGGGACAACTGGATCTCCACATGCAGAGGAAAGAAGTTAGAACCCCCCACCTCAGACCATCTACAAAAATTAATTCAAAATGGACCAACAACCTAAATATAAGAGCTAAGCCATAAAATTCTTGGAAGAAAACAGGTAAAGCTTCAGAACCTTGCTTTTTACAGTGGATTCTTAAAGATACAATACCAAAAGCATGAGCAATGAAAGAAAAAATAGATAGACTTCGTTAAAAAACTTTTGTGCATCCAAGGACTTTCCCAAGAAAATGAAGACAAGCTACAGAATGGGATAAAATCTTTGGTAACCATAAAACTGATAAGGGTTTAATACCCAGAATATATAAAGAACTATAGCTCAACAACTAAACGACAGCCCGATGAAAAAGTGGGCAAAGGACCTGAAAAGACATTTCTCCCAAGATGTACAAATGACCAATAAGCACAGGAAAAGATGTTCAACATCATTAGTCATCATGGAAATGCAAATCAAAACCACAGTGAAATTCCACTTCACACCCACCTGAATGGCTATTATCAGAAAAAAAAAAACCGAAAATAACAAGTGTTGGCAAGGATGTAGAGAAACTGGAACCCTCACTGCTGGTGGAAATGCAAAATGGCGCAGCCACTGGGGAAAACAGTTTTGCGGTTCCTCAAAAAGTTAAACACAGAGTTACCGTGATGCAGTGATTCCACGCCTGGGTATACACCCGAAAGACCTGAAATCAGGGACTCAAACAGAAACTTGTACCTCAGTGTTCACTGCAGCACTGTTCACAATAGCCAAAAGATGGAAATAACTCCAGTGTCCAACCATCACAGATGAACGGATTCGCAAACTGTGGTCTATACATACTGTGGACTATTATTCAGCCATAGAGAGAAATGAAGTTCTGATACGTTCTACAACATGGATGAACCTCGAAAACATTATGCTGAAGTGAAATAAACCACTAAAGGGCAAATATACGCTCCCACTTACACAAAATACCCAGAATAGTCAAATCCACAGACAGAAAGCGGATTCGAGGTTAGCAGGGACTGTGAGGAGGGGGAGTGGGGAGGGACTGTTTAAGGGGTATTGAGCGTCTGTCTGGGGGTGATGAAAAGCTTTTGGAAACGGGTAGTGGTAATGGTTGCTCAACATGGAGAATGTAGACATTGCCAACGAATGGTACACTTTAACCAATTAGAAAAATGGTTAAAATGGAAAATTCTTTTGTTGTACATACTTTACCACAATAAAATTGAAAAAAAAAAAAAAAAAAGCCTGCTGCAGGCCTAGCTGGGCTGCAGGCTGTAGTTGGCCAGCCTGTTTCAAACTCTGGTTACTCGGCATGGTCGCTGGACCACAGCCTCGGCTCTCCCGGGGGATGGTGAGAAGCATAGCCTCACCCCACCCAGACCTGCCCGTCAATCTCTGCATTAACAACATCCTGGTGACTAAACGCACATCACCGGCGAGAAACCTTCCCGGGTTCTCATCACGAGTGCAGTGGGGCGGCCCCAGAGAACACACGTGTGCCTGGTGTGTGAGAGTGGGCCCAGGTAGCGGAGCGGCCAGAGAGAACAGAAGAGGGACCTGGAGGGGCCAGATGGCCGTCCTGTCCCCTGAAGGGGGACCCAGAGTCCCAGCCCAGGTGATCCCTTGGTGGGCACCCCCCAGGAAAGGAAGCAGGTAGAGGGGCAGAGCCTCCCCAACTGCTCCTCTGTGTGTGGACCGCCAGAGACTGGGTCCCGCAGTCACAGTGCCTCGCGACCTCGACTGACTCCTGAGCCCCACTCTGCCATTGACCCTTTCTGTGCCTCGGTTTCCCACCCTGTAAATGGGGCTAATAATGACCAGCCCTGAGGGTCACTGAGAGAAATTGAGATAACGGGGCTGGCAGTGAATCCGCACAAACGTGCAACCCCAGAGCACAGGGATGCCTGTCTGGTCTGAGCGTATATAAGCAATTCCTGAGTGGGTGACCAGGCACAAGGCCAGGCGGACCAACCACTGTGACCCCAGGACCACCTGACTATCCCAAGGCCAGTGTCCGGGGTGGCTGGGCTTCTCAGGACCAGATCAGATGAGCCTAGCTGCCCAGACCTTCCCCCAGCCAGAGCCCAATGCCCCTGACCCCCAGGAGGCCCAAGTGGGAAAGGGACGCAAGTAACCAAAAAACCCTAATTTACTTCAGAGAAACTGAGGCACAAAGGTCCTAAGCAGCTGTCCCAGGTTGGGCATGTCACAAGCACAAGAGGTCCTGTGCTCCACAAATCAAGGTCCTGCCAGGGTTGCTGCAGCCTGGACCAGCACCATAATCTCAGCCCTGATCCAAACCCCAAACCTTGCACTGTCCATCCCGGTCTGAACCTGGATGCCCACCCCACAGGGCCCATCATCTCAGCCTCCCTCAGCAAGACCTGCCCGGTCTGAACCTGGACGCCCACCCCACAGGCCCCATCAGCTCAGCCTCCCTCAGCAAGACCTGCCCGGT